TCCACATAATAGCAATTAATCATGCAATAATCAACAATGCAAAGTTAATGTTAGTAGTTAGGTTGAACTTGCTACCTTGCTCCTAAGACTTGAGCTTTCTTTGTTTCTCTTCTTTTTCTTTACAAATGTCAAACCCTAGCATTATCAATCACAAAAAGGGCAGCAAGAATCATCAATCAATCCATATAAAAATCAACAATATAACTCAAGAACTCTTAAACCCTTTTTAAAGCTTCCACCTTTGTTCTTGAATTTTTAGAGTTGTGTTTTTTAACCCTAAAATTTTCCTCTTGACTTATTCCTACATGGTCTTTCATATAGATTCCAAATACATGCTTGGATTTAAGAAAATAAAACTCCCTCTTCCAGTTTTAGCTTGGCCGAACCATAGGATTCATTTTCTAAAAATTACAACTTTGGTTTTAATGCTCCCAACCTTTGTTCTTTAGGTTTGTCCTACACCATTTTTCATTTTGAACACAATAGAAGCATCAAAAAGTTGAAAAACTCATCCTAGGGTTCAGCTATGGTCTTGGCCAAAATGGTCCTCATGCAACACAACAAAGAAAACACTTAAAAAACAACCTACAACTACTTGTAACCACTAGGATCTATCATGATTTGAAGTGTTCTAACATGTTGGACCAACAAAACTTCTTCCCTTCCCATAAACATGTTTCGGCCAACATAAGAAAAAGGGCAGAACTATGAATTTCTAACCATACAACTTGTAACATCCCGATTTTTGGGCCTAGAAGTACCAGAAATAGCCTAAGTGGATAGGCTACCAAGCCCCTATTAGTAGAGGTCCCAAAGATGAGAAAGGAAGTTAAAGTAGTTTCAGTGACTAAACTGCAAAGTGAAAGTTTTAAGGGGCTAAAGTGTAATCAAAGTTAGAGGTTCCAGTAAAGTCTCGAAGGCCCAGAGAGAGAAGAGAGGCTAGATATAGGCCAAAGGTTAAGTTAGAAGCCTCAAAGATGGTTTTATGAGGTTGAGCTTAAGTAGGGGTAAAACCGTAAATTCATAAAGTTACAGCCATTAGGGGTAAAAATGGAAAGTACACAAAAAATTCTAAGAAAATCTCAAAAAATGGAAAATAATATTCTAAGACTCTTTTGTGAAGCGAAATGATGAAAATACCCCTGAGATAGCTTAAATGGAATTTATAAGGTTATGACCAGTAAAAAGTACACTGTTTGAGGTAATTATTTAAAATAGCAAGAGAACTAAAAAATGTACACAAAAATGAGGTTAGATGGTTGAAAGGTTCTACTAATTTATAAAATTAGTCTCGTAACCAAAAGGCTAGTGGAATGGATTTAATAAAATATAAAGCTAGTTATACTGTTAAAAGGGTATTTTAGTAAATGATTTTTATGCAAGGCTTAAAGGAAGTGTTATGGCCTAAGAAAATTTATAGATATTTTCTAGAATTAAAAAGAATTTATGGAGAAGACAGAAGAATTTTTTGAGCTCTGAAAAGCCATAAAGAAAGTCAGAGAAATGTGAGCCAAGTAAAGTAAGAAGAAACTTAAGGAACAAGTTTTGATCCAATGGCAAGGATTTAATCTCCCTTCTCCTCCACCACCTTTGTGACACCTAGCACCTCCTATAAGAATGAGGTAAGGATGATGCAAGAAGATGATGCAATGATGATGTAAAAGTCAACTTGAACTTCCAAAATTGCCCTTACTCTTTTTATTAGCCACCAAGGGCATTTTAGTCCATTCAAGGCAAATTTTTGGCTATAAATAGAGCCTCTCCCCCTTCATATTTTTGGCCAAAACTGATTTTTGGGAAGGAGTTGGATTTTCATAAATCTAAGTGGATATTTAGATTCATTGGGCAAAATTGTGTAGGGTTAGCCTAAGAAAACAATTTTTACAAAGCTAGAACATTAATCTAAAAATTAAGAGAAAGAGGTTAAGTTCAAGAGAGATAGTCTTGAATCTTGTGTAGTCTCTTAGTCCTCATAGATTGTGTAATCATTATGACTATGTTTAGGACCTTGGAACATCTAAGAGGATGTTTGATTGATATTGACCGAAAGCTATTATGGTTGGGAAGTCAAGAGAGTCAAAGAAAAAGCAAGAGGAAAGCTTGAAGTACAAGGTAGTGAACTTACCCTCTATGTGCTTGATATAGTATGCTTATGTGTTGGTTTGTTTTGTTGATGTTTGTTTGATGTTGTGACATGATAATTGTTGCTGGAAATGCTGTTTTTAATGTGCTTCCATGGCCATGCATTTTTATACTAAGCATAAAGCATGAGGGTATGTCACTAGTTAACTTAAGTTTATGGAAAACTACATACCATACACTAGCATCCATCTTGTGCATATATGTGGTAATGTTTGCTATTAAGATTCTCCCGAATCTCACCTCTCACTAACCAACCATTTAGGTCAATCAATGATGGCCAATAATGGCATGATAAGTAAGGAGAAGAAAGTGGAGAATTATTGATGTTAATGAATGATATTATTATTCAATGTGTAATTCTCATATTATGTAATTTATGTTATGGATGCCTATGATGCCATGTAATTAATTATCATATTTATGGGATGAATGAAAGTGTATGAGTATGAATGGGAAAGAGTAAACCCATGTTATATATGCCATAGAAATAAAAAGAATTAAAGTAAAGAGATGTTAAGAGATAAAACGTAGGTCATGAAGCAGTAAGTTTATAGCTCCAGTTTGACCTACCAAACAAATAAGTTAAGCCATACAGACTTATAGTACACATCACAAGCTTTAAAACTAGAGGTAGATCACCTCAATTAGATGTGTACACAAGGAGATACGAATTTCCAAATTTAAGGCATCGAATCTAGAAGTTCCAGATTTTTCCAAATAAATAGTAATCTTTACTGAATAAACTATACAAATTGGTCAAGGATAAGTCTATTTTAATATTTTTTCCTTATAGACCATTGAAAGAGCTTTTTGTAGAATTTTAGAACACCTCAATACGATTTTTATGGAATTAGTTATGAATTTTTGAAATTGGGCCTGCAATCTAAAACTTAAACAATAAATAGTAACCCGAGTAATTATGTTGAAATTTCAAATCCATGGGCTTATGTCATGATCTACTTGAACCATAACACTTACAGATATGTACTCTGAGGGGTTAAAGGTAGGGCATTTCACAACTCAAGTAAACAAAGCAAGGCACAACTTAGAACCAAAAACTAACATTAAACCTTGCTTGGATGATCAAAGTTGATCGCTTTCTCTTGATTTCTCCTCCAAGTTCTCTCTTTTCTCTCTTGCTCACTCTTGACCAAAATAATAATCTGAAAATAGGGGTGGGAGAGCTCCTTTAATGAACCAAAAATATCCTAACCACCATCATAAATGAAGTTATAAGTGTCATTACCCCCTTTTGTCTTAGTTTCTCTTTCTTAATTAACTAATTCCAAAAAAAATTAATTACCAAAGTCAAAATCCTCTCTATTTGAAAAGTGACACTTGGAAAATTCAAATCCTCTCCATTGGCGGCTTGACACACAGCTAAATGTGAGCCATTTGAATTGCAAGACTCTAGCTTTGCTTTATCGGTGCATTTTGACTCCGGGTGTAATTTTTTTCTATAATTACAGTATTCTGGTCTCTGTAATTATTTTTTATTAGATCCATAATTTATTCTCCTCATTTATATATTCTCAAATTACCCTCTTTGGCTCAAAATTAATTTCCCAACAATTAACTAAAAAGAAAAACTAATTTCCTTCTCTTTATTGATTTTTCCACTTTTCCAAGGAATTAAGAAAAATCTTGGATACTTGAGTGTCTTTTTTTAATTCCATAATCTCTTACAATTTCTTGGGACATCATAAAAATCTTCTTGGAATTTTATTCTCCTTAACAATATTTATTTGGAATTTTCCAAATAAAATCCCTTAAATTGACCTAAATTAACCTTAAATCCCTCTGTAATTTCTCTCAGGGTAATTTGGTCAAGAAACTAATTTTATAATCTCATATAATTCTCAAAGGATATTATCCTTATTTTTTCTTAATTTTCTAAGACTTAGAAATATTTTTTCATAATTATTTTTGACCAATTTTCCATAATTAGTCAAATTTTCATAATTGTCTTGGAAAATCATAATAATCATTTTCCACCAAAATTCTTCTATTTCTCTTAATCATTTTTAGCCCTTAGTTATTTAGGAATATTTCTTACTTCTAATTACCCTATTGCCAGATGTGACAGATAGGACATATTATCGATTAACTAGAACAATTTTAACATATAATGTTTGAATAGGCTATCAATAAAAAAATGATCGATAAAGTGATCGATAATAAGAGAACTATTCAATATAATAAATAAGTCGGGGAAGCTTTATCAATTATCTGAGTCCTCATCAATTAACACTTGATCGATCAGGTGATTAATAAAAGTTGTGTTATACTCATAGAAGTTTTATAGCTTTTTCTTGACAATTTATCAAACAATAAATTATCAATTAAATTATCAATAATTTGCCGCAACATCTTGCACTAAGTAGTGTTATCAATGATCAATCAACTAATCGATTAGCACATAAAACTTGAATTATCTAACATATTATCAATCAAGCTTAATCAGTAAACGATTAGAAAGGGACTAGCAGTTATCTGACGCTTATTCAATTAACTAGTGATCGATAAATTGATTGATTAACATAGCAATTACGCAGGGAAATAGAAGAGCTTAATTTGTTATAATCAAAACCTTTAATCTAACATTTTTTTCCCTTTTTGATGATAACAAAACATAAGTAAATAACTTATAGTAATTTGACATAAATCAACATAATTCAACATATGAGAATTCAACAATTACTGATAGTAAAAAAATGTGCAGAAACTCATAAGCCAGAAACTGATAAGCAAAAAGCTAACAACTTTGATAAACATCAAAATGTTTACAGCAGAATACAATATCGTCAAAATGTCAGAAGATAAATCTTTAAAAAACAGAAACACATAAAAACATAAATCTAGTCAGAACTATTCTTCTCCCCCTTTTTGCCAACATTAATGGAGGAAGTGGGAGGAGAAGAGAATGAGGGTAAGGTAAAAGGGATAGGGAGAGGAGGAGGTTGGGAAATAGGAGAGAGGGCTTGAGAGATAGGTGTTAGTGTAGTAGGAGGAGTAACTTGAGGGATTGGAATGAGAGCAAGTATAGTAGAAGGAGGAATGGGCTGTGAAACTGAAGGTGGAACAGAACATGTGGAAGTAGGAACAATAGGGAAAGATGAAGGTTCAGGATCAGTGTGAGAAGGAGAGGGTGGATGGGAAAAAAGGTCCTTAAAGCTGAATGAGGTGCTAGGAACTAAGAAATTTGCAGAGAGTGAGATAATCAAGCCTTTAAGCTCCTTAAGTTCTCTCCCCACAAAATCAAATCCCAGGGACATTTCTTTTTCTAGCATTGCCATGGCCTATCTGTGAAGATTCAAGATAGTATACAATCTCTTAAACTTTTTATCTGAGATGGTTCCATAATCCTTGGCAATGGCATACATCTTTTTCTCAAATTCTTGCGATTTAGCGTGGAACATATCTCGGATGGTATTGCCATAAAATGAAAGATTGTGCTTCATCTTGACTACTTGAAGTGCTGACCATTAGCTGTTTTCCTTTTTTTTCTTTCTTGCTAGTTTTTAGGAAGATCAAAAGGGCATTGGTGTCTTCATTTTGTTGAGTTGATTAATGCCAAAAATAGGAATCTTCACTTTGACTTCCCCAAGCTCTAATTGTGTAATGTTATGCACCTGGAGGAAGTATATCGCCAACTGAGGATAGGGAATGGGGGTGGATTTCGACTTGTTGAGGGTGAAATCTTTCATTTCACTATAGATTAGACCCCAATAATGATTTTTTCTCACTAGTGATTCTGGCAGTAGGAGGTAGTCATCTTGATTCAAATAAGAGAAGCTGCCAGACTTATTCACCATGCTCCTAGAGTAAATATAGTGGATTATTCGACAATAATTACACATTTGCTTTGGAGGAAAATTTAGTTCTCCAGGATAGTTATCACTATACATCAGAATCTTGTAAGCTTTGATATCATTCATGTTAGGTCCTCTGACACATTCTTGAGTTCCCGGAGTTCATTTATCTTCGCAGAAGTGAGAGTAATGATTTTGCCTCTGATTTTTGTTGTGAGACAATTATTCACTAGATTGTCTTTCTTATCATACTCTTCAATTGATTCCATATTATAGTAAAATCTTTTAACAACCTCAGGGCAATATTCCCCACCAATACTCAGCCAGTTTGAATAGTAGCCTAAAGGGTCACTCAAGTTTAATCTGGTTTTCTCGTTGTTTTTAAACCTTCCAGATTTACAAAAAGCACAGGACAGAATTTTTGAGTTGCAGAGTTTGCCTTAAATTTGAGCATATTCACATCTCTATCTAAATTTCCAACCAAAAAATCAGTAAATGATCCAGATGGAATACCTTCGATAGTAGTTTGCTGAGACACACCCTCAGTGGTTCTCTGTTTCTGTGTCTTGGTTGTCTCGGTATTGGAATATTAATGTTGTATCCAAAACTTTCTGAACTAAAATTTCATCATCGAATTCTGTTTTTGATTCTTCAGTGACTACTAGTACCTTTGATTTTGGGTGAGGAGACCTCCTTTGTGGAGTTGGTTTTTTAGAACTTTCAATTCAACTTTCTCTTATTTTCAATACCCCCTTTTTCTTCGATGATTTTTGCCTCACTTTGGGTGTATATCGCTTCTTGGTAGTCGAGGGAGTAGTTTCCTTGGATTAGGTTTGCTTCTCAAAGCTTGCTTCCCGGTCAGTACCAGCTTGTTTAACCCTTGCCATTTTTCAGTACAGAAGAGGATTTTGTAGTGGTGTTTAGTGATTTATGAGTTTGAAAAGGTCGAGAGTGATTGAAAGAACTCAAAAGATGATTTTGAATGATAAACAGTGGGAAATTTAATGGAACAATGTGATTTTTGACCATTGTGAAAAATAGGGATGACGGTTTATCGAGTTAGGGTTCTGAAAACTGACGAAGGAGTTTCAAATTCTGAACGTTATAAAGTCAAAAATGATCAATCAAGTTATCAATCAAGTGACAGATAAATGCAAAGAATAAGCAAGAACACTAAGAGCAATTATCGATTATGTTATTAAACAAGCAATGATCGAATACGTTATCGATAAATTTGTAGTAAAAGTCATACCTTTTTAGGTTTATCGATCATTTGATTGATTAATCGATGTTTGATTAATTAATCGATAAACCTTACCCATTTGACTAATTAACCAAAGAGTCTCTTTCTGCTGTTGATCAATAAATTATTCGATAATTGAGTGATTGATCAGGTTATCTATAATTTTGTTCCCTATCATTTCTAATTAGTTCTATATACCTTGTTGATCAATGAGCTGATCTATAAATTGGATTTATCAATCAGGTGATCGATAAATAGAGGTATCTTTAAGGCATGATTATCGATGCTTTTATTGATCAAACCCTACTCTATTCACCTCTATCTTTTAGCATCAAAATAGAGTTTCCTACAAAATAAATTTCTAACCACTCTAATGCTTGAGTTAGCTTTTTGATCATCAAAACCTTAAATCTAAATATTCAAACTGAAGAATTAATGTGAGATTTCTTACAGCTCATTGGGATTTGTCATTCCCAGTTCTCTTCTGAGGTAATTGAATTTTTGTTGGTCGAGAGGCTTTGTGAATATGTCTGCTATCTGATATTCAATAGGAATGAATTCTACATTCACATCTTTCTTTTGAACATGATCCTGAATGAAGTGATGTCGAACATCAAATATGCTTGGTTCGAGCATGATGAATTGGATTCTTAGATAGGTTGATTGTGTTCATGTTGTTACACAAGATTGGGATTTCCTTCAACTTGATTCCCAAATCTTGTAACTGTTGTTTTAACCATAGAATTTGAGCACAATAACTGGTAGTGGCAACATATTTTGATTCTGTAAAGGATATAGCCACAGTGGTTTGCTTCTTGCTAGACCACGAGACAAGGCATCCTCCCGAAAATTGGCATTGTCTATTGGTGCTTTTTCTATCTATTTTGTAACCTCCATGATCAGCATCTAAGTATCCCATTAGATATTCTGTTCCTTTCTTTGGATATCATATTTCCAGATTTGGTGTTCCAACAAGATATCTGAGGATTCTCTTAACGGCTTCTTTATGTGATTTCTTAGGAGCTGATTGATATGTAGCACATATTACCACGCTAAATGAAATGTCTGGTCTGCTTGTCATGAGGTAGAGTAGTGATCCAATCATTTCTCTGTATTTAGTCAAATTTACATCTTTGCCTTTCTTGTCTACATCTAGTAATATGGTTGAACTCATGGGAGTTTTACCCTCTTTGCCTGTTTCAAACCATATTTCTTTAGAAGTTCTTTGAGATACTTTGTTTGAGATATAAATATTCTATTTTTCTTCTATTTGATTTGTAATCTCAGAAAGAAATTCAATTCTCCCATCATTGACATCTCAAATTCACCATGCATTAACTTAGCAAACTCTTAGCAATGATCTTCATTAGTAGCATCAAATATAATATCATCCATATAAATTTGAATAATTAAAAGTTCTTTCTTATTTCTTTTGATAAAAGAGTATAGCGTCCACTTTGCTTCTTTCAAAACCCTTTTCTATCAGAAAAGTGCTAAGACGTTCATACCATGCTCTAGGTGCTTGTTTCAAAACCATATAAAGCCTTTTTCAATTTATAAACATGATCAGGAAGGTTCAGGTCCTCAAAACCAAGGGATTGTTCAATGAAAACTTCTTCCATAATGTAACTATTCAAAATGCACTTTTAACATCCATTTGATATAATTTAAAATCTTTTATGCAGGCAAAGGCTAAGAGTACTCATGTGGCTTCCAATCTAGCTACTAGAGCATATGTTTCCTTATAATCAATACCTTCTTCCTTATTATAGCCTTTAGCCACTAATCTGCCTTTGTTTCTGATGATTTATGTAGATTCATCAAGCTTATTCTTGAATACCCATTTGGTGCCTATGAATAGATGGTCATTAGGTCAGGGTACCAAGTGCCAAACTTGATTCCTCTCAAATTGGTTCAGCACTTCTTACATTACTACTATCTAGAATTCATTGGATAGAGCTTCATCAATATTGGTTGGTTCAATGTGTGAGATAAATGTAGAGAATCGCACTTCATTGAACACTTGTCTCCAGGCTTTAACCCCTTTATTGACTTCACCAATGACTTGTTCTAGAGGATGATTCTTGTTGTGTCCCCAAGCCTTAGGTTGATCTAAATTATCTTGAAAAACATTTCATTTGAATCATCTTTATTTGCAATATTTTCTTCAGAAGGCATTTTGTTTGAAGACTTGTTTAGACTCAGTTTTTCAAGACTTTGAACAATCTCAGTGTCATCATCTAGAGGTTTCAAAATTGACTTAGTTTTAGCAAACACAACATGATTGATTCTTCAATAGTAAAAGTTCTTTTGTTAAAAACTCTATATGCTCCACTACGGTTAGAATAACCCAGAAATAAACCTTCATCAGCTTTAGGATCGAATTTACCAAGATTTTCTGTGTTGCTGTTGCGAATGTAACATTTGCTTCTGAAGATCTTTAGATGAGCTAAGTTAGGCTTCCTTCCCTTGTATAGCTCATAAGAAGTCTTCTTGAGTAGCGTTCTGATATATACTCTGTTGGAGATATTACAAGCCATGCTCATAGCTTCTTCTCAGAATACTTGAGAGATTCTTTTTTTATTTAGCATCGCTCTGGCCATCTCCATGAGCACTATATTCTTTCTTCCATAACTCCATTCTGTTAACGAGTTCTTGGTGCTCAGAAGTTGTGGTCAATTCCATTCTTGTCACAATAGTCTGCGAATTCATTGTTCTCGAATTCTCCTTCATGATTAGTCCTAATAGACACAATAGAAATACCTTTCTCATTTTGGACCTTTTTAGCAAAAATGATGAATGCACTAAACGTCTCGTCTTTGGAGGAAAGAAACAGAGTCTGCATAAATCTCGAATAGTCATCAACCATCATAAGAGCATATAAGTTTCCATCGAAACTCTTGACCCTCGATGGACCAACCAAATCCATATGAAGCATTTGGAATGGCCTTTCAGTTGAGACTTTCTTCTTTGATTTAAATGAGGACTTTGTTTGTTTACCCTTCAGACAAGCATCACAAACAATATCATGTTCAAATTGAATTTTGGGTAAACGAATAACTAAATCCCTTTTTGTTAGTTTTGAAAGCTGATTCATGTTAACATGGGCAAGACGTTCATGCCAAAGCTAACTTTTCTCATTTTTGCTGAGAAAACAGTTTTCAAAGAGTTTGGAATCAATTTGAATAGTATAGCAATTACCGTCCCTTGGAGCTCTTAGTTTTGCATTCAATTCTTCGTTCTTGAGTGGCAAGTTATCTTTGTTGATGGTTAGGCATTCTTCTGAATCAAAGATCACCTAGTTGTTCTTGTCAGTACTCTAACTGACATTGAGTAGATTGTGGCATAGGCCTTCAACTGGGTAAACGTCTTCACCTTTCATTTCCTTGTCACTTCCTATTTCTCCGATTCCAGTAATTCTCCTAGACTGATTTCCACCAAAGCTCACTTTACCTTTTGTCATGTGTCTGGAGCATTCACTGTCAATGCACCATTTGTTTGTTTTGGATGCTTTGAGACATACCTGCAATAGAAGAATCATGTTTTAGGTAGCCATACCTTCTTGGGTCCTTTCTTATGGTTTGTCCTAGGTACATAAGTACCTTTAGGCACCCATTTTAATATCCCGTAGGTCCCTTTCTTCTTGTGATGATAGGAAGACGTTCTATGACCCTTACAGTTGTAGTATGAACATAATGCAAAAGGATTAGAAGAATGAATAGCATTTCTAAAGAACGTTAGATACAATCGACCACCGCTTTTCTTCTTCCCCTTTTTCTTATCTTAAGTAGGATCATATCCTATTTCGGATTATCCATCATACAGCGTTGAGCTCCCAGAATTACTTTAAGTATTTCACTGCCCTTTATGAATTTCTCTAGAGTTTTAGTGAGCTCCTCAGTTTTGTTTCTGTTTTGCTCACATTCTGTGCAGATTGAAGGTGTGGTGTCTTTCTGCTTCGCTTGTTGTTCCTCCAGAATCTTTATCTTCTTTTTAGAGCTTATAGACTCCTTAGCTATTCTTACTAGCTCAAAATGTAATACATTATACTTAGATTGCAATTCATCATAAGAAGGTTCAGAAACAGTTACCTCATATGTCTCTGAATTGTCGTCTTCTTGTGCCATGAGACAAATGTTAGTTATTTCTTCATCATTGCTATCTTCTTCTTCTAAAGAGCTATCTCCCCAGATTGATGTCACAAATGCCTTCTTCTTTCTAAATTTTTCTTTCTTTTTGTCTTTGTCCTTCATCTTGGATAGTTGAGGACAATCTGCTTTAATATGTCTTGACTTTTTACATTCAAAGCAAATTATCGGCTCTTTGGGCTCATTTTGAGATGTGGTCGCCTTACGTTTTGACTAGAACCTCCTTCCTCCTTTATTCTTGTAGAATTTCTTAAACCTCCTAATTATGAGGCCTATCTCTTCGTCCTCCAAATCCTCTTCATTGTTATCTTTACTTGAGAGCTATACTTTTATGATTTTTCTCATTCATTTCTTTTTTATATTTCTGTTTGCTCTCATATTCTGCCAAGCTTTTGAATAACGCAGCCACCGAGCCAATAGATTGTCCTTTTATTTCTTTGACGGCTGTCACCTTTGGTTCCTACTCGTTGGTGAGTCTACCAAGAATCTTCCTTACTTGATCTTCGTGATTGTATTTCTTTCCGAGGGCAGTGAAGTGGTTGATAAGATGTGAGAACCTCACTTCCATGTCCTGAATGCTTTCTCTGTCTTTCATTTTGAAAAGCTTGAATTCTGTGGTGAGAGTGTTTATTCTGCTCTGTTTCACTCTGATTGTACCTTTATGAGCAATCTCTAGAGTCTCCCATATTTCTTTAGCTGTTTCTAGGCTTGAGACCTGGAAGTACTCTCTTTGTCTTAACGCACAGGTCAACATGTTAATGGCTTTATTGTTTAACAGCATGAGCCTCTTATCTTCCTCATCAAACTCTCTTAGACTCTTTTGCACTTGTTGATTGTTAATGGTCTTCATCGCGACGTAGTTTTGATGTTTTATTACATCCTATAGACTGTATTCTATTGTCTTAATGAATATCTGCATCCTCATTTTCCAGAAGGTGAAGTTTTCACCATTGAAGCTTGGTGGTTTTGATGTTGAGTATCCTTCGGGTAAGATACTATCTCTAAAACCTGCCATAGGATCTTTCTTCGAATGATTAAGTCTTATTAAATGAAGAGACTTGCTCTGATACTAAATGTTAGTGACAGCTTCACCTAAGAGGGGGTGAATTAGGTGAAGTATAAAAAATTGACTTAATAAAGCAATCAAGTAAATAAAATAGAGAAGATAAGTTAGGAAGGTTTCACTAAAGAATGAAGACACAGAGTTTATACTGGTTTAGTCAACCACTTGACCTACATCCAGTCCTCAGAATGCCTATGAGATTTTCACTATATCCCTAAGATTAACCAGGCTCCTGGCGCCTCAATACAGTAATTAAATCTCTCAATCACTCCCCCTTACTACCCGTAAGGTTTCAATCCCCTCAAGAGTCCACACTCTTGAGTTACACTTAGAATTGAGTAAAGAAAGATATGTCAAACTCTCTCACACAATAAGTGAATGATAAACATTAAAGTTCGGTAAAACAGAGTATTGAATGCAACACTAGATTTTTAATAGACGTTAGTTCATGTATTCAATACTTCATTTAATGCTCTTCATGCCTTTTATAGTTAGAGTATTTTGAAGAACTTCTAGCCATTGGAAGATCGCTTACGTGTGTTTGGCAGTTACAATGGTAGTTCGCTATTAATGCTTATGACACGATAATATTATGTGGATGTCCATTTACCCCTTCCTCTTCATCTTCTTGGATGGCAACGATCACTTGCATGGAAAGTGTGGAGTATTTGATCAAGTTCAATCCAGCTTTTTCCAGGCTCCTTTATTACAGCCTTCTTCAACATCAGATCTCTCAATGATTTTACATCTTCCCATCTTCCTACTGAAGCATATAAATTAGAAAGAATAACATAATTCCCGGTTTTCCAGGTTCAACTTCTACAAGTCGATGGCCTACAAATTCACCTATGTCAACATTTGAATGAACCCTACAAGCACCTCAAAGGGAACCCCATATAGCTGGTATTGGCTCAAAAGGCATTTCATTGATAAATTTAAAAGCCTCTTCCATTTGACCAAATCGACCAAGCAAGTCAACAACACAACCATAATGCTCAATCTCTGGTTCAACTCTAAGTTTACCATTGGCCATATCATTGAAGATATCCAGCCCCCTATCTTCCAGTCCTCCATGGCTGCAACCAGATAACACAGCCAAAATTGTGACACTATCAGGCTTGACTTTATTTTCTTCCCTCGTTAAAGTGAAAAGATCAAGCACTTCTCTGCCCATTCCATGTTTGCTATACTGCTACTAACATTACATTCCAGGATATAACAGTTCTCATTGGCATGGTATCGAAGATCCTCCTTGAATAAGTGAGGTTTCCACATTTTGAGTAAATGTCAATCCAAGAGTTTTGAAGGAGAACATATAAGGGGATTTCACAGCGAAGAACATGATTATGAACTTGTTTACCATGATCTAGAGCAGTAAGCCTAGAAAGTGCAGTTAAAACACTAGCATAAGTAACATAATTTGATTGCATTCCTTCCTTTTGAAGCTAGCGAAATAGCCCCAATGCCTCTTGATCAAAACCCAATTGAGCATAACCAAAGATTATAGCAGTACAAGAAACTACATCCCTTTTTGGCATGCATTTGAATAAATCATGAGCTTCATGAATTTTTCCAACTTTGGCATACATGTCGAGAAGTGAGCTTCCAACGAAGATATGAGATTGTTGATAATTATTATAAAATGGAACCAAAATGAAACCGTAAAAGTAGAAAGATGAAGACAAGAGAATGAGAGAACCTTTTTTATTTCTTCACTTGCACTACAACACAAATGACTTGTCCTATTTATAGGCATAGTCTTACACAGAGGTTACAGTTGTCCTTAAATGATAAATAGTGGATAATCAATCCCATGAATGTGAATGGAGGTGAGTTACAAGAGTGAATAGATAGTGAAGAAGTAATGGATAGTGGAGAAGTAATGGTTGGTAGAGGTAGTGGAAGTTACTTGGTGAAGATGAAGAGGAAGGGGTAAATGGACATCCACATAGTATTCATAACACTCCCCCTTGGATGTCCATTATACAAATATGTGCCTCATTAAAAAATTGCAACTAAGAAAAACCCTGTGGGATAAAAACCTAGAGGAAGGAAAAGAGTACACATTTGTCAATATATTATCTACTGCTGCCTATTAAAAACCTTACTAGGAAAAACCCAGTGGGATAAAAACCCTAATCAAGGAAAAAAGAGTACATGTGTTAACTCCCCCTCTTGGTAATATCAGTTAATATCTCTAAGTTTATGACATCCGATATCATGAACAAGCTTTTCAAATATTGTACAAGGAAGTGACTTGGTGAACAAATTTGCCAGATTTTCATTGGAACGAATTTGCCGAATGTTGATTTCACCATCCTTTTGAAGATCACGAGTGAAGAAGAATTTTGGTGAAATATGTTTTGTTTTATCTCCTTTGATGTACCCTTCTTTTAGTTGCATAATACAAGTAGTATTATCTTTATACAGAATTGTTGGGATCATTTTATTGGAAGACAAGCCACAAGTGGTTCGTATGTGATGTATTATCAATCTTAACCATACACATTCTCTACTTGCTTCATGTATGGCAAGAATTTCTACATGATTAGATGATGTGGCTGATGTGGCTTGTTTCATAGAATGTCATGAAATGGCTATACCACCATATGTGAATAAATAGCCTGTTTGTGACCTACCAACATGTGGATCAGACAAGAATCCAGCATCTGCATAACCAATGAGGTTAGTCTTGGGTACGTTTGAGTAAAATAACCCCATGTCCATAGTACCCCTAAGGTAATGAAGAACATGCTTAACTCTATTCCAACTTCTTTGTGTTGGTGGCGAACTATATCTTATTAGGAGGTTAACATCAAATGATATATATCAGGTCGTGTATGACTAGCAAGATATATGAGAGCCCTAATTGCACTAAGGTATAGTACTTGTGGACTAAGTAGTTCTTCATCATTTTCTAAAGGTCTAAAAGGATCTTTATCTTTCTCCAAAGATCTTACAACCATCAGAGTACATAATAGATGTGATTTATCCATATAAAAATGCTTTAAGACCTTTCTTGTATGCGTTTCTCGATATAAAAGATCTCATTTCTTGAATATTCAATTTGCAATCCAATATATGCGTTGTGCTTCGTAATCTATAGAATTCTTATTGCACAAGTAAGTTTTGTTCTTCAAGAAAATGTGAATGAATAACAAAAGAAGTGATGAATCTTGAAATTGATATAATAGTTGTAAGACACATAATCAATCACCAGATACTTAGAAAATAAACTAAAATTACTTGTTCAAAGTCTTGATCGATAATTCTTTAATCGATCATGTTATCGATTAATTACAAGAGAAATATATATAGCAGATATATGCATTTATTGAGTAAATTATAGATCATATAATGATTGAACAAATGATCAATAAATCATGAACAGTGATCTAAATGAAATATATTTAAACTCTATGCATAGTTTATTTCTTTCAAATTTTTGTTTGCCTTCATATTGTTTCAAAAGAGAATTATATGTTAGAAGAAGGCTGAGAAAAGTTTGAAGATAAAATGAAAATAGGTTTTATGAAATATCATCATAAAGAACTATTTCAGAGATGAAATGATGTATTGATTGAATAGATAATTGAAAAATATTTGATCGATCATATCATCGATTAAGCTAAGCAAGAGTGAAATCCATTTCTAAACTATAATGATTGAATGCTTCTTTGATAAAGAGTTGATCGAACAAGTGATTGAAGAAATTGGTTCAAAGAAAACTTTAACAGTGAAGTACATAGAAGAGCTGATGATCGATTAAATGATCAAATGATGATTGATCAATTAAGTTATCGATAAATGACTATTAAAAGATACTTTTAGAAAATACCTGAGTAGGCCTATGATCAATCATGTGATATGAAAAGATGGTACAGAGACCATGATGACTGATCATATCATCGAACAAAGGATGATCGATCAAGGACTATTAAAAGCCTTGTTTTGCAAAATAACATAGAATATTTTGACAGAACATATTATCGATTAACCAAAATTGTTTTAACATAAAATGTTTGAATAGGTTATCGATAAAATAATGATCGATAAACTGATTGATAATAAGGGAACTATTTGATATAATAAATAAGTCAAGGAAGCTTTACCAGTAATCTGAGTCCACATCAATTAACACTTGATCGATCAGGTGATGGATAAAAGTTGTGTTATACTCATAGAAGTTTTATAGCTTTTTCCTAAAAGTTTATCGAATAATAAATTATTGATTAAATGATCAATAATTTGCTGCAACCTCTTACACTAAACAGTGTTATCAATGATCAACCAACCCATAAAACTTAAATTATCTAACATATTATCAATCAAGCTTAATTAGTAAACGATTAGAAAGGAACTAGCAATTATCTGACACTTATTCTATTAACCAGTGAAATATCCTTCCTTTAACCCCTCAGAGTACACATTAGTAAGCGTACTGGTTTAAGCAGATCATGACACTAGCCCATGGATTTAAAATTTCAACATAATTACTTGGGCTACTATTCACCGTTCAAATTCCCGATTACGGGCCCAAATTCAAAAATTCATAACTAATTCCATAAAAATTGTATTGAGGTGTTATAAAATTCTATGGAAAGATCTTTCAATGATATTTAAGGAAAAAAAATCAAAATGGACTTATCTTTGGCCAATTCATATAGTTTATTCAATAAAGATTACTATTCATTTGGTAAAATCTAGAACTTCCAGATTCTGTGCCTCAATTTTGGAAATTTGTATCTCCTTGTATACGCATCCAATTGAGGTGATCTATCTCTCAT